ATGTACCTGATGACTTGCACTCGACCTGACCTCGCGTACCCTCTTGGTCTTCTGGCTCGCTACGTGGCTCCTGGTCGGCACCGACCTGAGCACATGGCTGCTGCTAAGAGGGTACTGCGCTACTTGTGCAGCACATCAGGCATGGGGCTAGTGCTTGGAGGGACGAGCCCAGTTGTCCTCACTGGGCACTCAGACGCTTCTTGGGTTGACGACCAGGCTACTCAGCGGTCGTCACAGGGTTACACCTTCAGCCTTGGCTCTGGTTCAGTTTCGTGGCGTTCTACACGCTCGTCTTCAGTTCTCAGCTCCAGTTGTGAGGCTGAGATCTATGCCACAGCCATGGCTGCACAGGAGTTACGCTGGCTCACCTACCTGCTGACTGACTTGGGAGAGCAGCCTCGTTCTCCTCCAGTGCTGTACGTCGACAACAAGGCCGCCATTGCCTTGTGTGAGGAGCACAGACTGGAGCACAGAACGAAGCACATTGCTCTGCGTTACTTCCTGGCTCGAGAGTTGCAGCAGCGAGGCCAGCTTCGTCTTCGTCACGTGGCCACTCGGGCCAACACTGCTGATATATTCACCAAGGCACTTCCGTCTGGTGATCATCAGCGCTTTTGTACCCTGTTAGGCCTTGTGCCTACGTTTCCACACTTGCTGTAGTCTCTGCTTGTACTGTGATCTATATATATACATGCATGCCTGCTCTTGCTAGGTAGTCATCACTGTACTGTTATTGTTGCATATATATCTCTGCATGTGGACTGGCCTTGTGGCCCTTTGCTTGTGCTCAGAATGTGTGGTGACGTTGAGATCCACCCTGAGCTTGCTTTGCTTCTCTTGACTGGTCGTTTGACCCCTTGTTCTCCCCCACTTTGCCTATGGGGGTGTGTCAAACATATATGCTGCATATTGTCTAGGCTGTAGTGGGGTAGCCCATATGGGGTACAGCCCAATTAGGGTTTACTACTTGTACTCCTGCATGCTGCTAGTTCATCCATTCCTGCTGCTAGATTCTGACAGGCGCGACTGTTCAGCTTCGGCAAGGGCGCGGTATTGTGCCTCGCTTGCACTGCGGTTTCGGGGTACAGTACACGCTGCTGCCTGTAGAATCCGACTCTTCAGCTGCCACGCGGGTCGCAACCGCTGTGCTCGGTTGCGCCCCGTTGACTCGCCACCAGGGTCAAAACCCTCGCTATGGCGAGCTTCGCTTCTGCACTTCGAACAGTGCACTGCAAGATAAATAACATACAAACATATTTCCAACACTCCCCTCCACTGTTAGAAGTGTAGAATCCAGGAGAGATGAAGTTCTGCCATGTTGAAATTCTGAAGTCCTTGCCAGGGACTTCACCGGTACGCCTTGAAATGCGTCTTGCCAAGTCGCCCAGAATGATGCGACGGCGCGTTGAAGATTTCTTCCACGTAGTGCTCCGTGGGAAGTGGCAGGTCGAACCTGCTCCAAAAGATGCTCCTGGTGATGATTCAGGTGGTGGGCCCTTTTGTAGAAATTATCACAGGTTCCAAGGATTGGAACTCTTGCTCTGATACCATGTTGAAATTAAGAAGACGCTAGAGCGCAGCGGAAGCTCTAGGAATTAACGACGTCCCTACGGCGGGGCAATGGTCACTCAGAGGTAGCTCTCTTAGCTTGTAACTTGGTGCCAGAGCAGCGGCCGAGGGTAGGCCGGACACAAGCTTGGGAATTGTGTGTTTAGAGACATGCAATACATTGAGTTATATAGGAAACATACAAGGCAGGCAGTTACCAAGGCGCAACTGTATTACAGTTGCGCTGTAACGGTTCGGTTGCCCTGTAACAGTCGCGCTGGCGCGACTGTTCAGCTTCGGCAAGGGCGCGGTATTGTGCCTCGCCTTGCACGACGGTTTCGGGGTACAGTACACGCTGCTGCCTGTAGAATCCGACTCTTCAGCTGCCACGCGGGTCGCAACCGCTGTGCTCGGTTGCGCCCCGTTGACTCGCCACCAGGGTCAAAACCCTCGCTATGGCGAGCTTCGCTTCTGCACTTCGAACAGTGCACTGCAAGATAAATAACATACAAACATATTTCCAACAGCATCAACGATGCATTCTAGCATTAGCTTCGAAGCATTCACAACTGTTGTCCCTTGTTTTTGCACAAGTTCGTGTATTGTTGTGGTTTGTGTTTGTTTTGGAGTGTGGTGCTAAGTGCATCGTGTATGCAACTCAGGTTGTCATCGTCGGTGGGGCAGCTTTGCTCGCCTCTTCCGTACCATATCAATCTCAGTTGCTGCATTGATGCATTTAGTACGATTCACCTTGAAACATTCACGATTTTCATGCGTGGTTTTCTTTACACGTTTTGAGTGTGTGGTAATTTGTTTGAGTAATGCGTCTTTGTTTTAGTCCTTGTTTGCATGTCTTAGGGTGTTGTCGTTTGTGCTCAGGTTTTGGTACAACTGATTGTTCCATTCGCCGTATTTATCGACGATTATGGAATGATTGGTTATGCACATTTGGTTTCAAATTTTGTGGAACTTATGTGAATAGTGGTTCTTCCAAAATTGATGGGGAAAATCACTGTTCACGTCAGTTCCCTAGCAGCTGGTTATGGAACCAACCAAAACGGAGTACGCCGACTTACTCTTCCTCAGCTATGCTGACGATACGTATATCCTGGGGCCTAGGGAACGGGTTCTAGCAGCCTATGAGGCCTTGCGGGAACGACTGGACGGGCTGGGTTTGGAGGTGCAGCCGCATAAGTGTAAGCTATGGGAGCGAGGGAGGGACCAGGATGGGGAGGAGAGAAATGAGACTGTCCCGCCCGGCATGCAGCAGACATGGACGGGGCTCACTGTGGTAGGGGTGCCCATTGGGGAGGAGGACTGGGAGGTGGCTAGCCTGCGTCGCCGGCTGACGGAGCTGCATGCACCTGTCCCCTGGCTTCCTCTGCTTGACCACCCACAGATTGCGTCCCATTTGTTGGCGATCGCAGTGTCGGCGCGCCCGATCTACCTCACACGGACGATGCCTCCACGACCTGAGGTTGTGGAGGCTTTTCGGGACTGGGACACGAAGCTGGAAGATTGTTTCGAGGAGCTGTTTCCAGATAGTACCTGGGATCACGATTCGGGGAAGTCCCAGATGGCTCGTTTACAGCTGCACCTTCCTGCCAGACTCGGGGGGTTCGGCATTCGATCTGCGGCTGACCTTAGTCCTCTGTCGTATGCATGTGGCTGGTGCCAAGCAGTGAGCGATGTGGCTCGGTTGGGGGTGGCAGGTGAGGAGCGGATGTTTGAGGAGTTTTTCCGCACGCCCGAGGCTACGACCTTGTTGGACCCCTGGTTTGCGAGAGCAGTGGATCTGCTTCCACAGTCGGTTCGGCAGGAGATGCCACCCCTTGCCTTGTGCACCGCTGATCCGCCTATGCTGCTCTTCCCCACACAACACCGTCGCCTGGCGGTTGAGAGCCTCCAATCTCTTCGAGGCATGGCCCACAACGATGCCACCCTGGCCCGTTTGACATCCCTTCAGGGCCCGGGGGCTGGGGCGTGGGTTTCTGCCGTTCCTTCGCACGAGGAGGCTACCTTCACCGCAGCCGAGTGGAGCATCTGCGCGTCCATGCGCCTAGGCCTCCCTATTCAGCAGCTGATAGTGGCCGGCAAGTGCGCGTGTGGGTTTGAGTTTGCTGATCCCTCTGACCCGCATCATGCCCTTCGCTGCAAGTATCAGTATGCACCTTCTCGGGTTCACGATGCGGTTAAATTTGTGGTGGCGAAGATAGCTAAGGGTGCGGGTGGGATTGTGACCATGGAAGACGACACGTTGCTCCCAGGGAAGAGGGTTGATGTGGCGGTTCGGAAACTGAGGGAGGGGGAGGAGCACGCGCTGGAGGTTAGTGTGGTAGATCCTATCTCGCTATCCGCGCAGCACCATGGACAGATTGGTCGCAAGGTGGGTTTTTGCCGTGAGAGAGAGAGAAAAGCGGAAGACGGCGGACTACAAATCGCTTCTACAGCGGCATGGGGGAGTGCAGTTCACACCACTCATTGCTGAGACATGGGGATGCTTGGGGGGGAGTTTTGGACGGTGGCTTAAGAAGCAGGGTGACGCGCAGATCGAGATAGCAAAGACGAAAGGGGCGGCGCGAGCTACGGGAAAGGGTTTCTCGGCTTATTTGCTCGGATCGCTCAAAGCGGCTGTGGGTGTGGCTTTGCAACGGGCTCAGGCGCGTGTGATCTTGTTACGCGCGGCGTCGATGATGAGAGGCCCAGAGGCTGTTTGGGTGGAGCGGGAGGATGTTGAGGAGGAGATGGGATGGGATGCTCCGTGGGCGGATGCACCATACTTGGTAGACATGCGGGTTTAGGGAGTGGGTTTAGGGGGGGAGGTTTGGTTCGATGGGAGTGCAGTTGGGGTGCTTTGATGGGAGGGCTTGATGGTGTTTTAAATGTGTGTGCTATTGGGGTTTTCTTGGGGTTGTGTGTGCTGCTTTTTCTTCCTTCTTCCCTGTTTTTCTTCCTCCTATCATTTTTCCCCTATTCCCCTCCTTCTTTCTTCCTCTCTCCTTTTTTCTACTCACGTTATTCCTCCTTTTCTCCTCTCTTCCCGTTTCCACTCCTTTTCCTTGCGTAATTATGCTACATTGTAATATTTTAAATTACTATGTTAGCTCGTTAAAAGTGAAACCAAATGTATAGGGTTGCTACGCAACCCAAAAATTCTAATAGAACAATATGAATCCCCTGGACGGTGTGGTCCTGGACTCACTCATGACATGGCAGTCATCCCTGTATTGCCTCGTCATGTCCGCTTTCTATTGACGTGGCAACAGCATTGTGGCCCCGGTGTGGGCCAAACAGAACCTAGCTGCACCAACGTCTATGCCAATGGCGGTGGGGAACGAAAGCATGTGTGGTGTTTCCAAGCGGCTTGTGCCTAGGACAAAAAGCAGCAAGCGAGTCGAAATCACTAGTTGTCTCTGAACATTTCCAGCTCCATTCGACATTGACACTACTAAATGGCTTCCCGCCGACTTGAGGTGTTGCAAGGGCATCTTTGCGCTTCCGTGAGCCATGCTGAACTTGGTGTTTCCACCAGCTGGACTTCATCGCAAGCTGGTGGCGTTTGGGGTGCGGTAAATCAAGCTCCAGAAGACCCTATTCTTGGTGTACGTCAATAAGGTCCACAAGCTATTTACCTTTAGAAGTGAATTTCAGAGCGATACCTGAAACATTCAGATTTCCATTTTCAGGTTACCGTGGCTTTTCAAAAGGATCCGAGCCCGGTAAAGGTCAACCTTGGAGTTGGAGCTTACCGCACCGAGGTACGGATGACAAGTACCAAGTTTTGCAGCCTATGATATTTCTTTGAAGCTCGTACCGATCAGCTTTTGTTGTCCGTTTCTTTTCCAGGAGGGAAAGCCGTTGGTGCTCGATGTTGTGCACCGTGCAGAGTTGATGATGCTTGCGGACAGGTGATCTTCTCTACTTTCAGTTAAATGCCACGTTTTTAAGCTTTCGTCTGCTCACCATTTCCTGCCTTCACTTTCTCGAATCAGGTCACTGAATCACGAATACCTTCCTATTGCTGGCCTTCCAGCTTTTAACAAACTGACAGCAAAGCTCATCCTTGGTGCTAACAGGTAGGAAGTGGTGCTAGATCATGCTGTGGGTTTCTTTCGCGTTTATCTGAAGACTTGGGTTGTCTTTGCGCAGTCGCGCCATTGCGGAAAGTAGGGTTGCCACTGTTCAGTGCCTTTCCGGGACGGGATCGTTACGCGTGGGTGCTGAGTTCATCAAGGCTCACTACCCGTTTGTAAGTAATACATTCAGGAAAGGAAGTCGTATGTGTGATCCATCTTCAGCAATTGACACGCGGTGCTGTTAATGGTGATTTTTCCAGAACAAATGCATTTACCTTCCCTCACCTACTTGGGGGAACCACAACAAGATATTTCCTTCTGGCGGAGTGACTGTCAAACCTTACCGATATTATCATAAGGGGACTCGAGGACTTGATTTTGAAGGTTGGTTAGAAAGCAGTCTCTTGTAACGAGTTATTGAGAAGGTAACGTTCTGAGGTGCTTACTACTGTTTATTATACTCGTCGCAGGGATGTGTCAGGATCTTAATTCTGCTCCCGATCGTAGCATTGTCCTTCTCCACGCATGTGCGCACAACCCGACTGGAGTGGACCCCACCAAGGAGCAGTGGAACATCATTCGCAAGGTTATTCGAGCAAAAGGTCACTTGCCCTTTTTTGACAGCGCCTATCAGGTAAGGACACAAGAAACGGTGTGTTTAAACGGTGTGCATTATGATGGTGCTAAGAATTACTGTTTCTCGTCATTTAACAGGGGTTTGCAAGTGGTAGCCTGGACGAGGACGCTCATGCTGTTAGGCTTTTCGTGGACGATGGTGGAGAATGCATGATTGCTCAAAGCTACGCCAAGAACCTTGGACTCTATGGTGAACGCATTGGCGCACTGAGCATGGTGAGTATGCACTTCAGAGTGTATCCTGATTCTCGTTTTGGATTGTTCTGCCTAAAAGTATCTTGGTGTTTGGACGCATCCTCGCGCTGGCAGGTTTGTGCATGTCCGAAGGCTGCATCAAAGGTTGAGAGTCAACTCAAGATGGTTATTAGGCCGATGTATTCCAGCCCTCCAGCCCATGGAGCTCGCATTGTAGCAGCTGTTCTTTCTGACAAGTAAGTGTTGCTTCTGGGCTGTTTTGTTGGTAGCCAACCACTTTGTGTAGAAGTGCAGTGTTGATGCTGGGGCATGGATTGCAGGGACTTGTTCAACGAATGGACCCTCGAGCTTAAAGGAATGGCGGATCGGATTATCAGCATGAGGCAGCAACTGTATTCAGCACTCCAGCAGAGAGGTGCGTTTCCTGCTTGCATCCAACTGTTTGGACGAAATCTGCAGGCGCTTATGTGTGTGTTTCCATATATGGCAGGAACCCCTGGTGATTGGACTCACATTCTTAAGCAGATCGGGATGTTCACCTTCACAGGCCTAACAAAAGAGCAGGTAGGTAACAATTTTGTCCCTGCGACATTGGCTGGTCTTCGCATTTCATTGAAGTCATTCACCCATCACAAGGCCTTTGCCTAATGTAAAGTTGATTTGGATTGTTATACTCCAGGTTGCCTTTATGACTCGGGAGTACCACATTTACATGACCTCTGATGGGTATGTTCATGGCAGAGTTTAGTAGTTCCTTTTTCCCATGCAGCACTAGTTTAGATGCTAACTTGCATGATTGGGTCTTTTACAGGCGTATCAGCATGGCGGGCCTTAGCTCGAAGACTGTTCCACAACTAGCTGATGCAATCCATGCTGCAGTTCATACTTTCAGGATGTGATACCGTATTTTGTTGTGGATGGACAATCCAATGGTACCCTTTTCCTCTGAATCTCTGATGCTTCAGCCAGTTTTTTTTGCAGCTCATTTGCACTTCATTATGTGCAGTAACTATCGTTGTGGTTTAGATTGGCGAATCTTAGCTGTGCACTCTGTGGAACTGGATTGAGCTATGCTGGATGATTTGTATAACTGTGATTGACAAATAGTCCAATACTAAATAATTTATTAAAGAACTAAATATCCACATAAGGTGGAAACCCAAAGGGGGTTGTTGGGTAACACCAAAGGAGGTGAATGATTTGCCTAAACCCCGCTTGCCTTACCTTGGTCAAGTGTCCCTACGGTGAATGACTACGGTGTGTGTAATCGCTTGTGTGTGTTAAAGCCAGCAGCTAAAATAGTGACCCCCCCCTTCTAGTTGGGTCCACTTGAAAACACAAGTTTGTTACGAACGTTTTTGGGTTGCGAAGCAACCCTTTACGATCGATTTTGACATTTTTTTTTCATGATTTTTTTTAATAAACCATGAAAATAAAATTCGTCAGCTACAGTACGACCCTTCCCATTGTGCATGTTGAACAGTATTGGTAGCTGTCTTTGTAGTACCGTCATACCCCGGATATACCCCCATGGGGGGCAATAATAAAACAGGTTTTTTTTGGGGGGTGGGCTTATAATCGGGTAAATTTATAAGCGCCGGCGTTTATAAAACGACATATATATTTTATATATGTTTTAACACCAAGCTGTAGATCTCGTGCTAGCCTTTTTCAATCGAGTCGAAGTTCTGTGAAATTTCTCGCGCGCGCTGGAGATACACCTACTCTGACAGCTCCTGACAGCTTCTGACAGCTTCTGACAGCTCCTGACTGCTCCTGCTGACTGGTCCCGCATCCAGTGCAGGGTCCGAATGTGAAGGGAAGCGAATCTGCAACACATCCCCCTGCTGAAGTAGAAATCGTTACAGTGTTTCGAACACAATTCAAAATTTAAAGTTTACGTGCGCTTATAATAAAACAAGTTTTTTCAGGGGGGTGCGCTTATAATCGAGCACCGGATATAAGCGCCGGGCGCCGATTAAAAGCGCCAGGCGCTTATCCGCGGGTGGCGCTTATATCCGGGGTATGACGGTACCAGTTACGTGCATATTATACTGTTTGTATTATATCTTTTATTGTTTGATATGTTGTGATAAATGTTGTGAATACTAGTAATGAATTACACGCCACGCATGCTTAAATGGATGTAATGATGAGACATGATATATAGATGCATACCTAATACTGTTACAACGCATGAAAAATGCTTTTGTATGCATATGATATGCTGAAATGCACCACACCAGTATATCATACAAATGCGTGATAGTTAACGACCCAAAAACTAGGCTACCGCATCCCCTGCCTAGCATGGGGGGGAAGTCAATAGCAAAGTCTTTGAATAATCAACTAGCACATGAAACAATACAATCTGTTAACTCTAAAAAAGAGGTTCACTCTATCAAATCCAGTTCGAAGTGGCAAACACACGAGTCACTGAGTGCGCCAATGAACCAATGAGAAATGATAGAAATGAACCCCTTTTTAAAAATTAACAGACATGCATTGTTGATGCAATGATGAACATAAAAAAAAAAAAAAACACATGCATGCACACAATGACGCATACGCACATACACACGAAGGCAAACCACCGCATACAAATGCACAAACGATAAAGACAAGTAGGAAGAAATGAAAACAGAAGATGCAAAATTTATGAACAACCTAAATCAAATTTTACAATTCAACATTTCTCAATCGCTTGGCTCAATCATAAGGTAGTTAATCTGGCGTACGCGCAACCTGGTGAAGAAATAAAACAACCATCACAAGACGAAGAAAGGAAAACGAGTAGAAGGGACGAGCAGCGAATACGGTGAAAGAAAATCAACCGAAAGGAAGAAGCAGAGAAAACAAGAAGAATCATGAATGGATTCAAAAGAGAGAGAGAGGACGACAGAGAGAGGACGAGAGAGAGAGGACGAACGAGCGAGAAAGAACGAACGAGAGAGAGAGAGAGAGAGAGAGAGAGAGAGAGAGAGAGAGAGAGAGAGAGAGAGAGAGAGAGAGAGAGAGAGAGAGAGAGAGAGAGAGAGACGTATGAGAACGAGAGAACGAAGGAGAACGAAGGAGAGAGAGAACGAGAGAGTGAAAACGAGAGAGAGAACGAGAACGAGAGAGAGAGAGAGAGAGAGAGAACGAGAACGGGAGAGGAGAGAACGAGAACGAGAAAGAGAGAGAACGAGATAGCGAGAGAGATAGAACGAGAACGAGAGAGAGGGAACGAGAGAGAGCGAACGCGAGAGAGAGAACGAGAGTGAGAGAACGAGGGAGGGAGAACGAGAGAAAGAGAACGAGAGAGAGAGAGAGAGAGAGAGAGAGAGAGAGAGAGAGAGAGAGAGAGAGAGAGAGAGAGAGAGAGAGAGAGAGAGAGAGAGGACGAGTAAGAGAGAGAAAGAGAAAGAGAACGAGTGAGAGAGATCGAGAGAGAGAGAATATGCTCCTACCTAGTGAACTAACTCTCTGAACAGAATTGTAAAGATCTATTCAAAATTCCATTAAGGTGGAGGAAGAAATCAAGAAACAGCGTATGGAAGAAAACAAGAGTAAGAGCAGGAGCTGAAAAGAGCAAGCACGACCAATGTAAATCGGAAAAAAGGAGAGCGCAAGATGGGAAGAAGTGGAGAGAAGCAGAGGGAAGGAGAGAAGAAAAGTACGGTGCATAAACTAGGAAGAAAGCGAGGTTAAAAAACGAAAACGAATGGCAGAAGCTAGGAAATACCGGTAGAACCTCGAAACGGTTTTCAGGCAAGGAATCGACCTACCTGAATAGGTCGAAATCTGCAGCAGCTTCTAACACGGCGTTAGGTAAGACATCTAACATACCTAACCAAGGAAGAGAAGCTGAAGCTTACCTAACCAAGGAAGCTAGCTGAGGTGAGCTAGCGCCAAAACGAGAGCAAGGACCAAGGTGAGCTCCCACAAGCATAACGGGAAAAACGAAGAGGAGAAGAATGAAACCCTAGATGTTGTGCTGCCAATTTTAAAAAAATGTATGAATAATTAAAAAGCTTTTGATGAACATGACTCATTGTCCTAGCGAGTAGAGTTCGGTTTCGGAGTAAGGAGTGCTAGGGTTCGAATCTTGCTTACGGAAGATACGTTTTCACTTGCCTCTGCTGATCTGATTTTTGCAAATTGAAGAGAATACTCTGTTACATAATTCTTGAGTAGTTAATTTTAAACAACTAAACAAAATGTTCAATTCCCTTTTCACAATTTGCAGGTAAGATAACAGTGAGGTTGAAATTGAAATCTATTATTGAGATTGAAACTGAGAGACTAGATTCTTGCTCATACGAAGCATCGCTCGTGCTAATATTTATCTTGATTGAAACCTAAGACAATGCCATCGTTATAGAGCGATTGTGGCGACCTGTAATGGCGCATGTTTACCAGTGTTGCTTCGCAACCCTAAGACGATTTCGTCGCCTCTTGTTTTTTTTTTTTCATGCCAGACGAGTTTTGATGTGAATGGGAAACATGTGGAACTTGTTTACAAATCTGATTGGTGGCGACTTTGGTGCGAATTTGGCGCAAGGCGGCAATCCCACATTCACCAGAGCAGCCGTCGAAACTTCACAAAAATCCCCATATGCAAAAAACCAGCGCACACAGAGGCAAAATCCAGCGCGCACATAGGCAAAAACCGGCAGGCAAAATCCTGCGTGAACACTGGCAAAATCTCGCAAAATCCAGCGCAAACACAAGCATGATCAAGCAAAAACCATGGCACACACACACGTGAAATCAGGCGAAGAAGATATAAATAAAGAAATGACTGATGAACGAAAAGAAGGCGTGGCGTCGGGACGGTTGATTGGTCGACAGCGAAGACGAAGAGAAGGGACTGGGGACAAGGGGGGCGACGGGAGAGGAGGGGAGAGAGGGAAAATGACGGGATGGGAGGGAACAGAGGAGGAACAACGGGATGGGAGGGGAGAGAGGTGGAACGACGGGATGGGAGGGAAGGGAGGTGGAACGACGAGATGGGAGGGGAGAGAGGAAGAACGACGGGATGCGGGGAGGGAAGACAGATTGTGAGGGGAGGGAGGAAGGGCGCGGAGAGGGCATTACAGAGCAAGAGCGAGGGCGACGAGGTCGTTGATGAACCGGGTGGATACGATGGGCGACTGGAGAGCGTTTCAGAGATTAATGCTTGGGGAGAAGAGACGAAAGGTGACGGAAAGGCATTTCGGGGCGAGAAGGAGGGCGACGAGGTGGGTGATGGGAAGGGAGAGAGGAAGGGCGCGGGGAGCGCGTTTGAGTGCGAGCGTGAAGGTGACGAGGCAGGCGATGGGAGGAGAAAGTGGGTGCGGGACGGGAAGGCGTTTCGTGGCGAGCGAGAAGGCGATGGGGTGGGTGATGGGGGATGGGAGAGGAAGCGACGGTGGGCGATGGGCGATGGGAAGGGAGCGGCGTGAGAGAGAGCGACGCGCGGAGCAACGAGAGAGAGAGCGCGACGGGAAGGGAGCGGCGAGAGAGAGAGCGACGGGAAGGGAGGGGAGAGAGCAAGAGAGACGGGAAGGGAGGGGAGAGAGCGAGAGCGACGGGAAGGGATGGGAGAGACCGAGAGCGACTGGAAGGGAGAGGCGAGAGAGAGCGCGACGGGAAGGGAGCGGCGAGAGAGAGAGCGACGGGAAGGGAGGGGAGAGAGCAAGAGAGACGGGAAGGGATGGGGAGAGAGATAGAGCGACGGGTAGGGATGGGAGAAGGCGATTGCAACGGGATGGAAGCGGCGAGAGAGAGAGCGACGAGAAGGCAGAGGAGAAGGCGATTGGTTCAGGAAAGGGAGCGGCGAGAGAGAGAGCGCGCCGGGAAAAACGCGAGGGTGATTGGAGGAAAGGGGTAACGGAGATGACGACAGGAGGGCGACGGGACGGGCGATAGGATCGCGACACGACGGTCGACGGGACGACGCCAGGACGGACGGAGCGTGGGCGATTGGAACGGGAGGACGAGCTAGATGAGATGGGAAGGCGGCGAGAGGGCATCCGAAACGGCACAAAGTACTACACATCCGTGGCAGTTTCACTACGCGTCTAAATTGAAACAACAACGGCCTAAGTTGAAGCTTCGATGGCTAGACATGCTACAAATAACTAGGAAGCAGAGAGTGGTGATCGGAAGAACTAGTAGTTGTTCACCCAGACCCAACTTGAACCCCAAGCCGGGCCCAAAATCGCAAGGACGTGCATGAGCGATTGCAGTTCGAGCTTCCCAAACTGATATGCGACGCCTCACGTGCTGTGTTCCTTCTTTTGGTTTTGGCGGGAACCAATCAGATGTGTTCGATCTGCTAAAAACACCGGAAACTTGTCGGTTTGGTTCGAAAATTGTTTCGCACGGCAAGCCCTCTTTCAAGCTGGCCCCGGGTTCACTATTTTGCATTTCGGTTTTAAAAAGTAATGTGTAGTTTGTCAGAACGGACCCTTGTCTCTTTCTCAAGAGGTCTTTGTAAGGAATTGTAATTCCTTACTGTACTCGCACTTTAGCGACGAACACCACGCGTCAGCCCGGTTCGGCCTACATTTCCGCCCCGAACCACCTCCGAGTCGCCACCGCTCCAATCGCAACACTTTCCGAGCCATCCTAGCCCGAACCCTTCGCCTAGCTAGGATTCTCCTTATAAATTCGCGTCACTTTCATTGTATCGTCATTCAGTAGTCATTCATTCTCGATATTCGTTTTACTGCGCACTCTGCAAGTTCATTCATAACACCTGGTATCAGAGCTACTTTCCTAGCCTACCCCGCTTTTTAGAGTGTAATACCCCTCGGGGGGGGGACGAGGAAGGATATCATGGGGTCCAGGAGTTGTGTAGGCCGGCTAGGAGAACGAGTTAGTTGCTCCTCGCGGCCATAGTTTTACAGGGCACTCCTTCGGCACCGCCAGATCCTTGCCTCGAACGGTCGCGATCGACCGTGACCTCCCTCCCCCCGGGCAACGGACAGCTGGAGCTGTCGCGACTTGAGAACGTGAGTTATTTCCGCTGCGTCGCGACGATTTCGGAGTTATTTTCGTGTGGCAGCTGGCGTCAGCGGATCTGCGTCGGCACCTGCACGAAATTTTCGGAGTCGTCGTCCTGTGCGGCAGTTGGCGTGGTTGTTCGTCAACGTGCACGCGAGAATTTCGGAAGAAGCTACTGTTGAAGAAAAAACAAGGGACAACTGTACGGACTCGCTAGGCGCTAAAGTAATTGCGTCGGGAAAAGTCTGTGACGAGGAGAGACGCCACGACGACTGCCCGACTATTGCGGGAGTCAACTGCCGTCCCGCCCGACCGTTTAAGTGCAGCGGCTTTTACTGCATGGCGGGCGCGTCACCGACGATTTCGGCAGGAGCGCATGTGGACAGACGGGACTTCATACCCGCCGACACTTACGGGCTGCAACGAAAAACCGGAGTGCCTAAATCGCGCTCAATAGGAGTGGGACGCAGGCGGCGAGGGCAATTCGGGCCCATACACCCCGAAGAAATCTCGCATGACGCTGCGTGCCTGGTACTGTTGACAGCTGGCCAGCCGTTTCGAGAGTGGTTTCCCTGTAAGGAACACATTTTCGGGGACAGCTGCAGCAGCCCACGGTTCAACGGAGTTTAAAATACCACCCCGACATTACGGCGGAGAGTGGTAAGGCCGCCGGGACACACGGACAGAAACTGCCCGACGGCTAAGCGGGGGTTGGAGAACGACGAAGGGAGCAGGTTAAAAGCCGGTGGAAACGACCTGCCGCCTTCTGTCGCCCGAACCTCACCATCCCCACCAAGTCTTGGTTCCGGCTCATGCAGCCGACCTGACCTGGCCGAATAACGGGGGTGAACACGTGCCTACCCTGTGCTGGTTAAAGGCACCTGGTTTGGTGCTCGTTCGACAGCTGTACGAAAATACCAAAAAAAGGGGAGCTCGCGGCACTGTTCTACTCCGACAAAAGCGGGCTGGGTGAACGGCACGCAAAAAAGTCGGGGAGCTGCAACGAAAACAGCGGTGCAGTCTACGGTTTCCTCCTGACCTGAGCGTCTACTCGGATTGACGGCGCAGCGGCGATGTTGGGACCCGGTACCAGTGAAGCTACGTGGCGTGATAGGCGCGGTGGGCTGCAAAGCGGTTGGGTGCTAGCTTTTTAAATAAAACTGCCCCGACTCCGATAGCATTTGCGCTTTCACCGTAGCCGGATTATCGCGCGGGGAACTTCAAACTTATACTTCAACCGGCAGACGCGGACGCTGGGTGAACGGCGATTTCGCGATATTGTCGAGGAGTCGAAAACATCAAAAAAAAAAAGGAGAGCTTTGCCCTTATACTTCAACCGGCAGACGCGGACGCTGGGTGAACGGCGGTTTTGCGGATATTGTCGGGAAGTCGAAAACTAAAAAAATGGGAGCAGTCGAAGTTTCAAGACTTACCTGCCGGCAACGAGCGATGGGTGGCGCATCTGCAAAGCGCCGGTGGGAGAAAGGTGGTAATTTGTTAAGCAACATCGGCAGGGGCAGTTCGACAACGTGGTTGATGGCGTTGCGGCGCGCTAGGCTCCGTGAACGACGGTCTCGGAATAACCCAGGGCAAGTCCCCGGTTCCCGATTATACCCGCATGCTGGGTTCGGGTGAACTGACGGAAACTACTGGTGACCGAGTGGGCGGCTACGTTACGACCGAAAATTTCGGAGGAGAACTACACCTGCAGCCAAGAATTTACGGGGGTTGCGACACCGACAATTACGGAGTTAACGGAAAAGCTTATCGGTTTACGGCGGGGAGCGCCGACATTTTCGGTGGATTTCTTGGCGTTTGGTTGAACGCGCGCGACAACGACGTGAGACAACATCACGGGACCTACACAGAGTTTTTCAGGGGTACGAACGACATTCGACGAACTGGAGGTGGCAGCAGCAACAGTGGAAGGGGGGGGAGGCAGCTGGAATTTCTTTATCTCTGCCCAGGAATTATCGGCGCATTACGACAAACTCCTCGGCGAGTCTGGACAAACTGCCGGGAGTAGCTGACATCATCTGACACTGATGAAGTGTTCAACATTTTCGACCGGGGCGACATTCGTCGGGTTACTTTTTCAACAACCATCGCCGACAATCGTATTCGACTTCGCCATCAATCATCTTCATCGCCAACATTTTCGTACCACCCCCGATTTCACTGCCATAGGATTTCGGGACGGACATCCAACTCTACTAACGACAATTCGCCCAACTCGACCCGCTCACAACAAACGATTCGATTTTGCCCACGTCAGGTGCTGCCAACTGCAACTGCTGAAGATACTGCAGGATTCTGGCACGTGAAGACAGAACAGGTTCATTTCGAGCAAACGTGTAATTTCCGTCGCGGTTTCTGGTCTACTGCTGCTGGTTTACCCTTGGAGAATTTTGGGCCACTTAACACCTGGTTTCGTCACCATTTTCCCACACCGACGCCCTTTCGCCTCGGCATCCCTGCTTTTATGTGCGACTTAACGGCTGGTTTTGTTTGTTTTCTCACCTCGGCGCAGCTGTGAAAGTTTTGTGACGGTTTTCTTGGAGGGGGGGAGAAAGTGCGCTGCACTGTTTTCCTTCGGCGATTTCTCGGCACAACATTCTGACTTTGTCAGAATGCGTCAGCACGACGTACGACTGCGATTGCCTTCAGCGAAATCGATGGTTCCTGTACATCGCGACTGATCACCGCGTCAGCAGGTTCCCCCCAAGTTCGCGTCATAGTCGACCGTCAGATCGAGTTCAAACTGCATCAACGGCTCCAATTCCAACTTTCAGTTCGTTTTCGTCAGAGCTTTTCGCGTCCGTCAGATCAAAATCTGATTTCATCTACGGCCCAGATTCCAACCTCACTTCAATTTGGTCAAGACCATCTGCATCCGTCAGATTGAGAACAACCTTCATCAACGGCCGACATTCCAACCATTTCAGTTTAAATTCGCCAAGGCATTTCAACCGTCAGATTCAACTACACTGGAGATCAACGGCAGCTTCGTTATTGAGGGACACGTCTAGTTATGAGGCGGTCATGTTTGGAAGGTGGGAGAGTGTAAGGAATTGTAATTCCTTACTGTACTCGCATTTTAGCGAGTACAATCCGAACACCACGCGTCAGCCCGGTTCGGCCTACATTTCCGCCCCGAACCACCTCCGAGTCGCCACCGCTCCAATCGCAACACTTTCCGAGCCATCCTAGCCCGAACCCTTCGCCTAGCTAGGATTCTCCTTATAAATTCGCGTCACTTTCATTGTATCGTCATTCAGTAGTCATTCATTCTCGATATTCGTTTTACTGCGCACTCTGCAAGTTCATTCATAACAGTCTTGTTGTCCGTCCTCTCATGTGCTGCGTCTGCTGATGATTTTAGACATAATAACCCTGTCAACTTACCATACACACAGTTCGAACATACATACATATCTTGTAGCTGTAAGGTGTAGAGCGGAAATAGTTCGAACTGGAATCCATCAGACCAGCAAAAAAACGACATCAATCGCGTCGCCCCCCGATGGAGCAGTCAAGCATAACACCACAGGCAGGAGGGTTGCCCGATCAATCTTCTTGTGACTTGTCTGTTCGGCATCTTTAGCCAAGCAGCTGAACAGTAACCTGCCCGCTGTTGTTGTGTCCACCTCGTTTACTAGGAGCCTGGTGGTCTGGTGTCCACTCCGTCAAGCATTGCCGTTCTGTCGTCGCAGGAAGGTAACCTTGCTACTGTCTTCATCCAGCGAAGTAAGATGTACGATGTTTCACGCGTTTCAGTCCGCTGCAATGCGGTGCCGAATAATCTGTCTCCGACTTATTCCTAGCCTTTTTGTCCTCTTGGAAAGATAAATAGTCAGTAGTTACTTCAATCGCACCGTCAGTCCACCACGGAAAGCTTTCGCCTGGTTTCGGGCATCCCTCCGTCGGCAAACGGGCAGGATACACGAGTTGCTTGCAACCCAATTCCTTCCGAATCCTGGATGTCGTGGTGCGAGCATCCCCATATTTACAGTGCGCTCACTCACCGCGAGCCATGAGTGTGCGCGAATC